GGGCAAACCCAGGGTGCATAAAAACTTGCCTTTTGACCAAGTAGATCAAGCACTGCAGTTGATCTTTGACTTTCTGGGTCTCATTCCTGCACAGAAGCATATCTTGTCTTAGTTTATCCACAAGATCCTTAATGATTTGCACTGTTGAGATAGCCTTCTTTGTGCTTCTTTGCTCGCCACTCACTGACATCATCCTGACTATAAATGGAAAAACTTCAAAATTGACAAAAAAATTGTTAAATTGCTAGTGATTTTGACCAACTTTTCAGGTATAATTTTCAAGGATATCTTCTTTAATTCTTCACGGGTCAGTTTTACTGTGTTTTCATCAGTAAAGGCCCAAATACGAAAACTTTTTGAAGTTGTTTATACATCCTTGTCAAAAAAAGTTGCTTCTTCGCAGCCGAATGACGCCGCTGACCAGAATTTAACAATTTKATATTCTCTTGACCAATCAAATTAACGTTTCTAAGTACGTTCAATCGTACAAGAAGTCACCAGAATGGAGGCGCGAAAGTTCATACGAGCGAGGATTTCTTAATATTAATAATTAATTTATTTGTACACAACTATGAGCAATTTATAATTACATAAAAAAATAAGCTGAGGTTTAGAAAATGACGGGTTTTTCTGAGAAGTTTACTCGCATCTTACAAGACTTCGAAGAATTTACGCGGGARCAACAAAATGAACTCTTGAAAAGTTTGCTCCTGAAATGCCAGGTACGTCTACGGACATCTCTACAGACAATATTTGTTTTCTTTTAATAATAAAACAGCATCAAATCTAGAATTTTAAGACCATTATTTAGGATCAGGCGATCGAGAGTTCAGAATATTCGAAATGATAAGATTAACGCTTAAGCTTACTTTGTTTTTCTGTAGCCTTTGCAGTTGCGTTTATTGTACTCTCAACTAAAACGTCTGCTTGCTGTGGATTTTGCCTCATATCTACCAAAGGAACTGACAGAAAGAATTTTTTCGTATTTATCYGCAAAGACACTCTGCAGCATTGCAAAATGTAACAGGCTTTGGAGGGAGAGAGCAAACCACAACCCAACATGGTAAAGTTTCACACCAATATAAGCTTATGTAAAGTTTAGATGATTTGCTTCTTTTTTTTTTATCATGCATTTGAGCATTTGAAAAGAAATTATGAAAGCCCTAGCAACTGTATACACATKGTACAACTATTGCAATAATATGACACATGTACTACTGTTGCCATGGAAACATAACACATAGGTGATACTATGGAAACTGATGTCTTTGAAGATGGTTGCAATGGAAACATAAGAAAAAATTGACAACATGTACCATTGCAGCAGTGGAGGCATTTAGATAATGGGACTTGCTATGGACGTATATGGTTGCTAAGGAAGTAAATATGCATTAGATACATGTGACACAGTATATACTCCCTCCTGCAGTCATTATATAATTATTTCATTGTTTTATGTGCCATAATGATAGATATCTGCATTTTCTTTAGGCATAAGTTGTGTACCAAACGTGGCTGGGATAAGTTTGGGGATAATGAAAGCATCTCTCTCCAATCTCTAACACTATCAGTGAGACCTCTGTCTCCCTCTGCATTGCCCTCTCTTCCCACATTTCATTTCACTGAAACGGAAAATGTTTTAAACCCTGGGACATGTCGATGGAAAAGTATTTATATCAGAGCAWATTATTTGCAAGAAAACTGGAGTTGTGGGAGGTATACCGTTGCTCCTATTTTGAGAGGACATAAAGAGCCTGTTAATGACATTGATAGCGATGGTAAGCATTTCATATCACTTTTATAGTGTTCATGCCT